ACCTTCGATAGTAATTGCAAAAGGCTATGAATCTTCGTGCGCCATCTGCGTCAGTAGGTTGTGGATAATTCTTGATTACTGAATATTGACTATCGTCTGGTAGTATCCCTTTATCAGTACACTTATGTCCTAGATATGTTACTTCCGTTTTAAAACATGAACATTTTTCGGGGTGTAGTTTGAGATTGTGTTTTCTACATAATTCAAAGACATTAGTTAAATTTGAAAGCATGTGCTTCTCAGAGCATCCTAATACGACTAAATCGTCCATATATAAGAAAGCTTGATCTGGTTTTAAACCACTGAAAGCAAATGTCATCATTCTTTGGAATGAGTTAGGTGCTATTTTTAGTCCATATGGAAGTCTAGTGAATCTATATGATCCATTGTACGTTGAAAATGACTTAAGATTTCTAGATTTATCTTCCAGTTCTATTTGGTGGAATCCAGACATTAAATCTAAGCAAGAGAAATATTTTGCTCTGCCAAGTTGATCTAGGATGTCGTCTATTCTTGGCAGTGGAAACTTGTCTGCGACGAGTTTTTTATTCAGTTGTCTGTAATCTATTACTAGTCTCCATCTTTTTTCTTTAGAGCCTGGTAGTGGCTTCTTTGGTACTAGTAAGATTGGACTGTTGTACTCGGAGTGTGATGGTTCGACTATTCCATCGTCTATAAATTTTTTCACTTGATTGTCAATCTCATCTTTGTGAGTATGCGGTACTCTATAGTTCTTAATATATACGGGTGTATTATCTTTAACTTGCAATTTTTGGCTATAGAAATTATTAGTTGTTATCGGTTCAGTTTCTAAACCAAAAATATCAGTGAATTTTGAACAAAGGTTTGTTAAGGTATTTTTAAATTGACTTGGAAATTGTTTATTTAATATGGTTAAGATTTCTGTTTTTCTACTGTTATTATTAACTTGGTTATTTGTGACAATTTCATAATCATTAATTTGTTCGGTTATGATTTTTGATTCCTCAAATTTTGCTGTGTGAAAATTTGTATTTAGAATGCGAATGAATGCTTTATTTGCTCTTACAAGAGTGCTAGCTATAAATACACCTGGATGAATTTCCTGTTTTGGTACAAGTATATCTTGACTCGTACTTTTAATTTTTATTTGGCGTATTACTTCTGATCTTGCTGGCAAGGGTAAGTATTCATTGCATGTATTTGCTATTGGTATTTCTATGTGTTGGTGAAAGTTAGGTGGACGTAGTACAAAGTAATCAAAATCTTCGTTGAAATCTAGAATACAATTGTATTTTCTGATAAAATCCATACCGATGATTCCATCACAAGGTATTGGGAAATCATCGTGCACAACGTGAAAGGTGTGCGGAACTAAGAAATTTTTGTACTTCAGATCGAAGTGTGTAGTTCCTATTGATTTTATTTTACCTTGTCCTATTCCACTTAATGATGTAATGATTTGTGTGTTTATTTGATCTTGTTTAAAGTGTGCAGTTTTTATTAGTGAAATATCTGCTCCTGTGTCTATTAATAATATTATTGTATTGTTAGTGTCATTTAATTGGACTTTTATAAAAATTTTCAAGTTAAGATTAAGATTATACACTTTTCTTTCTATTGACTTGATCTTAGGGGACTGTGAGAGTTTTCCGAATGTTCTTGGTTATTGTTAGCTATTCTAACATTATTAGTTCGACCATTTTCTTGTCGGTTATAATTGTTTCGGTTACGGTTTCCACGATAGTTGGAGTTGTTATCTCTATTACCATTATTGTTATTGTATCTTCTGTTGTTTTGTCGATTTCCTCCTCTGTAGTTTCCTCTGTTACCACCTCTGTAGCTTTCTCTACCATTTCCTCTGTTTCCATGGCAGGGTTTATTTGATCTTCCGAAGTGTAGGATAGTGTTGTGTTGTCCAGTTGCTTCGGTGCAACTTCCGACAAACTTTCCTATTGCTTCGTTCATGGAGTTGAATTCACCTGCCTCCATGATGAGTTTTACTCTATCTATGGTGCAATTTTTGGTCACTGCTTTTATTGCTACTTGGGTTGAGTATTTGGTGGCTTGACTACAAGGTATGCCGTCAGCGATGTATGCGCTTTCTAAGGATTTGGTCAGTGTTTCTATCTCATTGCAGTAAGTATTAGCGGATTTACCACTTTGTCTAATGTTAAAATTTTTTGCCGATATTACTTCAATGGTTTCGCCTTTTACACATGCTGTTAGTTTTGCTATGATAGACTGAATTGTCGGCTCACTGTCTAAGAGGTTTCTGCTATTGCCTTTTAGTTTAGTTTTTATTAAACTAACGGCTACTGATTCGTGGTTTCCTGTTAGTGTGTCTACTAAAGAAAGTGCATCTAAGAATGATCTTAGATTTTCTGGCTTTCCATCGAATTCAGGAATCAACCTGGTGGCAGTATTTATAAATTCTATATTTGTCTGTGCTATGTTGATTTCTTCCAGTTATAAATAATCCAGGTATAAATAATCGAAAAAAACTAGTGAAGACACCGATTGGAATGAGTGGAAAGTAAGTAATTTTCAGCCAAAACTGGTTTTCGTTTAACAGATTTTATATGGACGAAAACACAAGTTTTAGGTCGAAAACCAGCTTTAGCAACGAAAACATGTTTCCGATGTCGGTCAGAACCATGGTGTAATGAACTGAAGGTGGCGCATTCCCGAAACCGCTACTTTGGTTTTGCCGACTTTGACATTTATGGCAATACGTAAACAAACTTTTTGTTTAGAAACAAGTGCAAACGTATTGCAAACGTATTGTGTACTTTCGAGTGAAAAATCGAAGTAATTCGTGCGTTCTGAATAAAAAACGTTTTATTTGTAATAAAAACTTTATAAAAATGTCGTGTCGTGTGTTGAATTGCAGCAGCCGTAGGGGTAAAGCCCCCAAATGCAGTTTTTTTTTGTTTCCCCGCGACGACGCCTTGGCCAGAAAGTAGGTAGAGTTCTGCCGGCAGGAGAAGCCATACAATTTAGACACCAGCGTAATATGCATGAAGCACTTTACGGACCACTTTTAAACACGACATGTTGAGTTGAAAACGTTGAAATACCACAAATTACAAAGTAAAATCGGAGGTAAGCAAGCATCGACCACTTTCTGCAGGAAAACATGCGCTGCGCTAAGATATTATCACTTTTTCGGGACCTGCAATACAAACACAAAATTAATTAATCAATTAATAAGACCTATTCTTTTGAACACATTTCAAGAGTGGTTGTATATTTTTTGTTAACGTAGTGCTTAATTTGCTATATTCAAAGATGGCTTGAGAAATTGGTGAATCGAGAAGAACACACGTTTTCTCACTGCAAATTCACAACTGTCAACTCATTGTTCTTCGCCATATTCTTTGTTTACCCGTTGCGAATCTTGTATTCTATCGTTCTTGGGTCAGAACATGGTATAAGTGACAAAAACAAGAACAACGTGAATCAGCTGTTTATCGACTTGTGGGCACGAAATGTGGGTTTTTGCGCTTCCGTACTTCTGAACTTTGTTCCATTTTTGAAAGAAAATGTTTCTCTTATTCTCTAATTACCAAATCCGGTCCGGATTGTTAGGGAAAGAACCTAGTGTTGATATTATCAATGAACTGTAATTTTCGATTTTCTTTCCTCAACGTTTAAGACATTGTGATTTAAATAATATCAACAAAATTTCTGTGAAAAACCGAAACCGGAACGAAACCGAAACCAAAACCGAAATAAATTTTGAAGAACGAAACCAAAACCGAAACCGAAACACTTAGCAAAACCGAAACCCAAACCGGAACGTTATTTTGAATCGGTTTCATTCCTTGCAAAAAAGTCATTCATGTCCCAATTTTTTTTGTCAAATACCAACACATATTAATTTAATTTTGAGTGATGTTCGTTCATCCTACCTTTCTCTCTTATCCTTTGAATGAGCTTATTAGCAAAGAAAAAAAAGGGGTGAGAAAATACCTTTCTAATGATACCTCACAAATCTAAATCGGAAGAGTTTAGGTTCAGTTATTCAAGTTTTTTTTCCCAATCTTAAAAAACAGCATCAAAAATCTGATTATTACGATTCCGTTCAAACTTTTTTTTAATTTTTTTTTTAATATTTTTATGTAAATTTTTTAAGCTTAAACCGTTTTGCCTTTCGAGAGGATTTTTTCAAAAACATCTTTAAGAAACTATTCATAAAAAACTCCATTTTTGAAGGTATTTTCAAATCGGTCCAGCTCGCTTAAATCTTAATATATTTCCGAAATATTTTCCAATAGAAAAACAGTACCGATGGGGAGTGATGCAGTCTAATACACATATATGTGAAGTAGGGCTGTGCGATTAATTGATTATAAAAAATTTTAATTAAACATAAAGTAGTTAAGTCAATTATTCGATTAATTGGAAATTATGATTACGTACTCAAAAACAAAAATATTTGAGTAATTTCCTTTATGATTAATCGACAGTATGAGTAATCAAGATTGCAAAGTACTCTTTACATATCGATGTTCCTCTGCAATAACGACACAATTCAAAATTCAAAAAAATAAAAACTGTTTCCACTGTTAAGTGGCTCTTGTCTCTAATCCGTGTCTAATCCATTTCCAACCCTTGCTTAAGTAAGCATTAAGGATTGCTAAATTAAGTACTAAAATTTAGACATTGATCCGATAAGGATTATAGACATGAGCCACTTAACAGAAGTAACAGTTTTTTTTTTAAATTTTGAATTGTGTCGTTATTGCACAGGACCATCGATATAAAGTAGTTAAAGTTCCTTGATACTTTGAAAACAACGTTTCTGTTTTCAAAAATTAAAATTAAATATTTTTTTCATATACAGATTTTAAAAAATAAAATAAGCATTTTCCAAAGCAAACTCTTTTAACGAGCAAAATTCATTTTTTTGAGTAATCATATTTTAAGTAACCCGATTAATAATCGTTGTGAGTAATCAAAGATAAATGATAAAGTAATTTAAATGATAATAATTTTACGCAGTTTTTTCAACTTACCTGAACTGGGCAATGCGGAACTTATTTAATCTTAAACTGATATTTGTTACATCTACTGACATCTCCGAATGAACAATGGTGTCATCCAAGGTACCAATAACCTTTCCGTATCCTTCAATAGGCATTAATTGTAGAAGATAATCATATTCAAACTAAAATATAATAAAAATTAAAATAATTTACTAGTACAGTCAAATTATGTTGAAAAATCTGGAAATTTTAGCACGTTGGTCTTTTTCCGGATACTGTGAGGATAATAAGACTTGAATTGTGGAGCTTAGAGGGTTGCGAAACAGGGGTTACAACCATAGTTGATAATTGCCATTTTTAGGATTTCTAGAAAAGGATAACTTATTAATAGGGCAACCAAAAATATGCTCGAGCATGTTATTTTCTTATACTTTATCACCTGATGCATAAAAAGTAAATGCTAATTGTTAAAAGATAAAGCGTTTTAGCCATATTTCAGCATTTTTTGGAGATTTTAGAAACAAATGCTAAAATTAGTGCATATTAAAAAAAATTTATTTTTTTGATTATAGGGTCTGTGCCAATTGATAGAAAAGTACTCTGGGTGGTAAATTTTTGACAACTATGAGGTGAATAAAAATTGCCGAGCCCATAGGTCTAGTGAACAATTTTACAGCAATCAGCACATTTACATGTTTTTTGTTATAATATTATTAGACGTCTAATAAGTGCATGGCTCTCTATTCTGGAAGAATTGAAATATTTTCTGTACAAACGCTGCAGTATGGTTGCTTAACTTTCTGGCCGTATTTTCATCAAAGCAACTGTCGAAAATTCCCAGCAGTAAAAGTTACGAATTGGCACAGCAGAAATGTAAAATTTTCTCACCATAGAAAAAAGTTTTCTCGCCATAGAACTTTTCTACTGATTGGCGAAGGTCCATTATAAGTATGTATTTTGAAATTCATCACTCCGCTATTACGTGCTTTGCGACACTGAATTATTTTCGTTGGCTTGACAATGTGATTTTTTGTATCAATAATCGTCTATAAAATTCGTCAAATTTTGCATAGAGCTTTGCACTAAAGAACGAAATACACCACACAAGTGGTTAGGCAAACCAAGTGAAATTTCCTTTTTCTTCAAGCCATTTGTGTTGTGTATGGCGGGGATTGAAGGTTGGATAATCGTCTGATTATGCATACTTAGTGTGACCAACCGTACTTCTGTCGGAAGTACAGTACTTCTCTTTTCGCTCTTGTACTTCGTACTTCGAAACAGGGTTGTTGCGAATATTCGCATTCGCATTCGCAACCGCGGAACTTCCGCATTAATTTTAACATTCGCATTCGCTTTCGCATTCGCAATAATCAATGCGGAGCTTTTGCGAATGCGAATGTTGTGCAAGTGCATCGATAAAACGTATATATGGCAAAATTACAAATTGTAGCCAATATTTGCCTATGGTCGTGGGAGTATTTGTGTAACAAAACTGGTCAAATATCATATTTATCAAGTTTCATAAAAATGTCTTTAAACATATTATTTATTAAGCTATATAACCGAGCTATCAATGGGTAGTCATACAAATTCCCACTTTTACTTGAACTTTAACGTACGTCAAAGAGAACATAGTCCTTTTAATAATAATTTTTTTTCTGTGTTTTAAATGCCTGCATTGGTTTTTTTCTTTATTATGATTTTTCTGGACTAATCTTAAAAAAAACCTACAAGACACAAAAGAAGAAAGTTTGCACTGTAATTCTTAACCAAATTTTCGTGATGTGCCTTTGATGTTACATATATTCGTATCAATAATTTCAACTGGGGCTGTTTGGGGAATTTATTTTTAGCAAAACTTTTAAAAACAGTAATTTTGTTTACTTGTCGGGCAATATTTTTTCGTAGGGATATACATTGGATCCCTGGCAAAAAACTTCTGTGGTAGCCAAACAGGAAGCTCCTTCACTTGGGATTTCCAGCAGAAATGATCAACGTCTGGCTATAAAGAGAATCGATGCTAAAATAATTAAAATTGAAGAGTATGGCTTGCCGTTCCTTAAACAAAATGTCATAGGATTGGCCAGTCACATCAATTCCTTATTCTTTTGTAGTGACCGCGACTACGCCTCTTGATGGACCTGTCCGATAATCCGGACAAGAGTCGCAAACAGAGAGGCAGTTGTATGCACGAATGAAAACGCGTTAGCTAATCTGTGTACACTAAATTTTCTTTATTGAAGTTAGTTGTCCGAAGCAATATTGGACGAACCAACTCAACCGACGCTAAGACGAAAAGTGAAGATTTACAATGCTAGCACGAGTAGGCGTATAGGCGATCATGACGATGCTGATCATCAGTGATGCATTTTAGAGTTATCTTACAAGCTAAACAAAGCTGCATTTTATATGACATTACAAGGAGTTTAGGCGTAAAACATAGAACAGTATGCTATCAAGTGAAATAAAATACAAGCAATGAATATACATGTGAATGGCGGTCGTTACAGTCTCCCCCTAGGATACTGAAATCGACCCGATGAAGTATCCTAAGCTGTCTTCCGGGGACGTCCTTGGCGCCGTATCATGTTAATTGGACCGTCGGGAACATCGCTGGAACAGCGATATGGTGTCAGTGATGACGCATGGTATGTGCCCAATGGATATTGGAGGTTGTCCTCATGAGCAATCACGTAGGAAGTGGAACCTTGTTTGCCAATAATGATATACGGCCCACCTCGGCGTGGAGTAAACTTTGATGTTACGCCCTTGGCAGCGTTACTCAAAACATGCGTGGTCACAAGGACCTTGGAACCAATCTCTAGTCCATCTTGGTCGCGTCGTTGTGGATTGGTGATGCCTTTATTAGCATCTTGCTGTTGACATTCGGATTCTTTTGCAGCTTGGAAAACCTCCGCGAGAGTGCTTAGATACGGTGTGTTTTCTGCAATGAAGTTCTCTGAATGGATGATGGCTCTCAAATCATGCTGGACTTCATCGATCGTTCTTAACTCACGCCCAAATGTGAGGTATGCGGCAGTATACCCGGTACTTTGACAGCGTGTCGTATTAATGGCGAAGCGTATGGCCGACAACTTCTATGCCCAGTTTCGGTGTTCTCTGCCCAACAAAATTGACAACTGCGTCTTCAGATCGCGATTCTTCCTCTCTACAAGATTCGCTTGTGGGTGGTAAACTGGCGTGAATACTTGGCGTATATCCAGATAGAAGGCAACTTTTTTGCATTACAGCTGACACGAATTGTACACCGTTATCGCTAATGATTCGCCTTGGGACTCCATAGCGCAAGAATACTTCGTCGATGAGCGTTTTCGCAAGTGGAAGCTTCTTTCAATGGAAAAAGTTCCACCCAGCGGCTTGCAACATCTTCCACTATGTAAATCCACTCCATTTCATTCATATCGGATGGCAATGGTCCGAACAAGTCGATGGCTAAGGCTGCTTGCTGGAAGTCGTCTGGTATACGCCCATCGGCTTCAGGTTTGTTGCCTTGTAGCGCTGGAAATCAGCACAATGCTTGACATGGGTCTCGACATCTTTCCGAATTCCTGGCCAATAATAACGCGATGTTATCTTGGACAAAGTTCGTTCGATTCCATAATGATCCGCCGTGTCCTTGTTGTGGTAGTGATTCAAAATTTCTGGACGCTCGGATTCGGAAACAACTAGCTGTCCGTCTTCGCTGTCCTCATCATTGTAGCAGTAAAGAACGCCGTCGTTCATTCTGAATCCACTCTTGGCCCAATGCGCAGCATCATCGGTCTTTTCCTCGAAGCACTCGCTCATAGCTTTTAGGTTGGAGACACCAAGTTGGCTGTCGCGGATTTCCTTCGCTCCTCGTCGCGGAAAATCAACAGCGAACGAGCATATATGGCAGGATTCTTCTTCGGAGTCATGTCTGGCTTCCCAAGGTGGCCTTGACAACATGTCAGCCACAACATTTGTATTCCCTGGCTTGTAGTCGATGTGCAAGTTGTAAGGTTGTAAGTGCAATGCCCATTGCGCTAGGCGTCCAGTCGGTGATTTTAACGTCGTCAACCATTTAAGCGACCGGTGGTCCGTTATTAGTGTTACCTCGGATCCCTCAATGTAGCCACGGTACTTTTGGACAGCCCATACGATGGCAAGAACCCAGATATTGCTGTGACCTTTTGGGGATCCACTCTTATGCCATCTGGTGACAGGATGTGTCCCAAATATTTCACTTCGCGACATGCAAACTGACATTTGTCTTTATTGATCTTGAGACCAAATTGTTGTATACGGTTGAAAAGTGTACTAAGTTCTTCAAGGTGTTCTTCAAAGTTCCCTGAACATAGGATTATGTCGTCCAAATATGCAAATATTGTTAAGTTACTTAGAGATGCTTTGAGCCGATCTATTAATCGCTGAAACGTTGCTGGCGCGTTTCGCAATCCGAAAGGCATGCGCGTAAATTTATACATACCAAAAGGTGTGACAAACGCAGTTTTATCCCGGTCATCTTCCTTCACGCCGATTTGCCAGTAGCCAACCTGCAGATCCAATGTCGACATGAAATTGGTAACTTTAGCTTCATTTAGTAAGTCATCAATCCGTGGAAGAGGATACTGTACTGGATATGCAAATGCGCAGATCGCCTGTCTTCTTGGGTACGATAACTACAGGAGCTGCCCATGGCGATTCGCACTCTACTATTACTCCAATCCTGAGCATTTCGGTTATTTCTTGTCTCAACAAAGCTTTTCGCTGCGGTGGTAGACGATATGGTGGCGAAGCAATAGGTAAATGCTCACCCGTATCGATGCTATGTGTGGCAAACGGTGTTGCAAATGTTGACTCTTCGAATACTTCGTTATGTTCGAGCAACAGCTTGTCCAAATCTCTACGCTGTTCAAACGTGAGTTCGCAACCAGCTGTCTGAGTTGGTGGACTCAACTCAAGAGAGTTTAAAGGGAAAAAATTTTCTTCGCAAAACTCTTCGTAACCACTAATCTTTACCTTAAATGGAGTCGCAAACAGACGAGAGGAGTTTTCGGGCGTAGATTTACCAACCGGTAGTGAACTTTTGAAAAATTTGCTGCACTGAGTGTGGAGAGTAGTCGTTTGAATGTAAACGTTTCTCTTTTACTGCTGGTCCATAGTTTCTTTCAGGGGATATTTCTGGGGAAACGGCATCGTC